CCTCAGAAGCTGAGGTTCTTTGTCCCCTCTGCTAGTCTGTGAGCAACTCAAGGGCAAAGACACAGCCCTTTTGCCTCTGTGCCCCCAGCACCTGGCCCAGGGCCTGGCCAGGAGCAGGACTAAGCAAATGTTTGCCGGGTGAATGAGAAGCTGAGTCACCTCGCATCTCAATGCAGCTCAGGCATCTTCTGCCTGCTGCTCCCTCAAAACACAACACAAACACACATGTACTCTAACTTACACGCATAACACACCAACACACTCTCAGCACACCTCATGCGGGACGGTGTGCACTGTTCACCTGCCACTCCCACAAGCAGAGCCACACCCCAACGAGCATGTGCACCCCCACTCACGCCATGCACACGGGTGGGCATGGGAAGGCCTGGTGGGGCACAGGAGCCAGGCCTTGAGTTTCCCACCTCCCTGGAGGGAGAGAAGAGTGAGGCAGGTGAGGCAGCACCAGGGCCGAAGGGGGAGGGCTGGAGAGGACATGTGTCAGTCTGTCCTTCCACAAGCTGCTGACAGATGGAAATTAAAGCAGTCTGGGGAGGCAGGGAGGCAGCGGAGGAAGCAGCAGAAGTGCAGCAGCCCTGGATGGGGGCCAAAGCCAGCTCACCCTGCTGCTTCAAGTCAGGGAGGCCTGGGTGGGAGGGAGGGAGTGCCAACGGCACCCCTCCCAGCCCAAGGAGGCCCTGCTCCAAGCCTCTCCCCAGGGTGGGGCTGAGAGCAGACTGAGGAAGGGCTGAGGGGATGTGAAACAGCAATGGGTGGATGGAAGGGCCACATCCAGCCCTGGCCGGTGTGGATCGGCTGGTTGGGCGTCATCCAGTGCACTGAGGTTGCCAGTTCAATTCTCGGTCAAGGCACATGCCCAGGGCAGGTTGCGGGCTCGATCCCCGCTAGGGGGCGGGCAGAAGGCAGCCAACAGACGTTTTGCTCTCACATCAGCATTTCTCTCTTTCCCTTCCTCTCTCTCTAAAAACCAATAATTAGAAAAAAAGAAAGACCGACATCCAGAGCAAGACCTGGCCCACACCTGGTGGGCAGAGGGCAGTCGAGGCTGTGTTGGCCCGGCGGAAGGCGATGGGGAGTGGAGAGCTGGGACGCCAGGGATACAGCGTGATCATCCCTGCTGGCCTGTCTAAACCCTACTCACCCCTCTCTTCATCGCCGGAGAAGCTTTCCTGCCTCTTGAGCACCCAGAACACCGGTAACCTGAGCCCCTCCCTGGCAGGAAAGGGAGACAGGAGTAGCCAGGAACCCGTGCTGAGCGCTGCCACTCCAGGGCACATTTGGGCTCCATCCCCTCCTATGCCTGTGGAGCCACTCTGGGCCTCAGTGTCTTTGTCTGTAAAATGGGGATGGATAACAGAAGTACCTAGACTTTGCTGGGTTTGTTGGCAACAATGTGTGCACAGCACATAGCTAACACTTGATAAATTTTTAAGATAATCATCAACATCCTCAACACAGGTCCTGGCCTGAGGACCTGTCTCATCTTAAACCATCTGCACCCCTCACCCCATCTGGACTTTGAGTCTCCTGAGGGCTGGACTCTGTACAATCGCCCACCCTGACTCCAGGTGCAAACCTAGGGTATGGTATATAGTAGATCTGCAAAAAGTGGCTTCCCAGTGTTTTAGGCTCCAGTCCTGAGGAGATCAGGGCTGGAGCTGGAATGTTGTGTCTAAAGTGGAAGCAGCTGGTCTTGACCCAGAGACAGAAAGAGCATGCAGGGAGATGACCCCAAGTCTGGGGCCCAAGGGAACAAGAAAGAGCTCATTGTCACAGGCCATGGGTCATGTGCAAGTCTCACTGCCTCCCTGGGCCTCAGTTTACCCACTCATGGAAGGAGGGAGCTTGCCTCAGTGATCTCTGAGGGTCCTCAGATTCTGTAAGAGCCCCAAATGACTGCAAGTTTCTACAGGCCCAGGGGGAGGGGCAAAAGATGACCAGGAGGCCAGAGAGGGGAGGGGGCAATGCACCAGCTCTTGGGGGCCCCAAGAGCACCACTCCCACCAGACAGTGTGGGCCTAGACACAGAGGGGGGCTCAGCTCTCCCAACATTCTCCCTCACCCCATCCCCATTTGGGTCTTGTCACAGCTATGCTAGATAGCATTCCAGCCAATGACCACTGTGGGGGAACCCTTGTCCCACACAGGAACGGTGACAAAAAATGTCCCCAACGGCTTCACTTTATGAACACATCCATCCAAATCTGCAAAACAGGTACAGCTACAAGTAGCAGGCATTTTTTCCGTGCTTACCAGGTGCCAGATAGATCTCTATCACTTCCCACGTGTTAACTCCCACAACCCATTGAGTACTGGGAGTAAATTACTCCCAAGTTCCAGGCGAGGAATCGGGGACCCTGAGAAGAAACTTGTCCAAGGTCACAGAGATGGTGCAGGAATCAAGACCCAAACCTGCCAGACAGGCCCAAACCTGCTCTGAACAGCCCTCAAGGACTTCTCATTACCATGGGAACCTCTAAAGTTTCCTTTAAAGAGGAACTTTCCAGAACGTAGAATTTCTTTAAACCAATTGCTCAGAACTCGAGCTCCTTGGATACTACTGACGTTTGGAAAACACTGTTAGAACAGTGATTTTCAACCTTTTCCATCTCATGGCACATCAAAACATATATTTTTTGCCAATTTGACCAAAAAAAAAAAAAGTATACTTCTTTTTTAAAGAAAGAATCCACTTTTTGAAAACTGAGTTTAGAGAGAGTGGAAGGGAGAGGGAGAGGGAGATAGAAACATCAATGAGAGAGAAACATCATTGACCAACTGCTTCCTGCACTCCCCCTACTGGGGACAGCCCGCATCGTGGGATTCGAACCAGGGACCTATGGGTGCATGGGTCAACACTCAACCACTGAGCCGGGCCAGCCACGCAAAAATAGGTATAATCCTGATTCATTCACACTGGACAGCTAGTGTTGCGTTGGCCATTGTCATTTTTTTATCTGACGATCTCAAGGGGAGAAAGGTCAGTACCCCTGACTAAAGAGTCAGGTGTTGCATTTTTTGCTGGAGAAAGGTAAACATGTTTCCTCATTCCGCTTTAAAGGGTTGATACATGCTAACACACATGTACTCTAAGTCTCCAGGGTGGCCACAGAGTACCCAGCACTTTCCAAACTTGTAACAGCCAGAAAACCTGTGATGGAGACCAAAGCTCAGGCAGCTGAGGACTCTGCTCCTCTGCCACTAACCTCCTGTTCCCCAACCCAGTCCCCTCACCTCTCCCACAGTCTCCCACTGGCCAGCCTCTCCCTCCATCCTAAACAAAGGGAAAGATACTCCCTTTCTTAAGAGCCATCCGATCTGGAGGGGAAAGATGGAGGGTGGTGGGCCCCACTGCTCGGTAGTCAGAGTACTGACACAGTGACCACGCAAAATCATTTAAAATAGAGAAGAAAAACACACCGTTGACTCTCTGACCTTAACACCCCTTCCCTTCCTGCTTCACCTGCAGCTGTGAAGATCAATGAGGTCAGATACGCAGCGGAGCACTGGGGACTGCAGAGTTCTGAGTCCCAGGAGGAGAAACCAGAGCGCCCACATTCCTCTGGCACCAGGAACGGGCACCAGGAACGCTAAAGCTTCCTGAGTCTGTTAGAGAGTGAGCCTCGGGGAGGTCCAGGAGCCTCTGGACTCCCAGTCCCGTGTACCCATTCCCATCCCTGCAATCTTCACCTCCTCCTCATGCTCTTTCATCCCCCCCTCTACAGCCTGAGTCCAGAAGGCTCCNGTCCCAAATGCCTTCCCAACCCTCCAACACCACCCCCACTCCCTCTATACCCTTCCTGGTCCCTCCTGTGCCCTCCCACTACCATCAACCCCTCCACCTAGAACACAGCCCCACCCCACACCTCCCTTCCCTTACTCCCTTGGCTGGTGAGAAGCTCCAGGGTTGGAAAAGGTCAACCTTTCTACTCAGTCAAGACAATGAAACCAAATCTCAGTGGATGGAAATGTTAACAAGAAATGCAATGCGTTGGGGTGGGGGGAAAGGATGACTGTATAAAAGGTGAAGAGAGTAGCCAAAAAACATATATACACAGCCATGGACACAGACAACAGAGTGGTGAAGGCCAGGGGAGGGGTGGTGGGGGNGGGGGGGTGGGGTGGAGAACATCTGTAACAGTGTGAACAATAAAATAAAAATTAAAAAAGAGATGCGATGCCTTTTTGCACCCTTTCCAGGTGTGAGATCACGTCAGTTGGCTTTAGAACATAAAATCCCCAAGACAAACTGGGTGGCTCGTGAAACTGCCAGTGTGCTCCTTTGGAAAGTTCTTTTTTCAGCCACTCTGTGCATGGAAGCCAATGTCATCGGGCTAGAGGCCAGGTACCAATGTCCCAATAGGGTTCCTAACCTATTGCTTCTCCTGGGCCTTAAAACGGGGCACACAAGAAGCACCACATTCCTATCCTCTTAAGAGACAAGTGCCACTATCCACTCCACTCCAGACCAGAGTGGCCACGGCCAAGAAGACAGAGCCCTCCTTTCTACACCCAGGAAAGCATCCATAGTCCCTGGCCCAGGAGCACCTGTGGCTTCAGAGCCGAGGCCTGGGGAACAGCCGCTGTGCTCGAGCGGAAGCCACCAGAAACCATCCAGAGATGGGACATTTCCTCCAGCAGTCACAATGTAACCTCACCAAGGAAGCTTAAAGCATGGGCCGCAAGACAGTAACACCTCACACATCACGCTCACCATTCAGTAAAGGAACTCAACCTGTATGCTGGTGATGGTTCAACTTTTTTAAAAAGTCAAAATTCACAATCCAGACTGACACAATTTTCCAAAGAGTAAAAATCCTGGGGAGAGCCGTTTCTCCCCTTCTCAGATAGGTTGCAATTTCCCAGACAGCTGGCACACCTCCCCTCCCACGATGGGATGGCTGTCCCCTTACCTGGCTCCAAAGCCGGGGGCTTCTCCTATCTCCATTCCGGGGTCTTCAGGGCGGGTTTCCAAGGAAAGCGAGGAGTCATCTTCACCCTGGGTCTCTGGTCCACTCGTCTCACCGACCCCCAGCTCCCTGGCCTCCATGGGGTCTCTGGCCTCCAGACCAGGGCACAAGATGCCAGAGTCCCTAGGACCTAGCTCTGGGCACTGGCTGACTTCCCCCACCCCACGCTCCCTGGCTTCACTCCGGGCCCCAGAGAGCTCCACATTCCGGACCCCCAAGTCTGGGGTCCAGTCCATCTGCCCCACTCCACATCCTCGTGGCTCCCGAGAACTTCCAGTCTCTAGATCACATGGCACCTCCAAATTCCTCAGGCCCAGACTATCACCCCAGTCCACCTGGCCCACCCCCAGCTCCCTGGAGCTGCTACCTGCCCCCACAGCCATGTTCCTCAGGCCCAGGTCCGGTGTCCAGTCTGCCTGTCCCACTCCACGCTCCCTTGATGTGAGGAAGTCTCCAGCCTCCACACCTGACCAGTCGGTCTGCCCCACACCACTCTCTCTGGCCTGGCTGTGGCCTCCTGCCTCCCCCACCCCAGCCAAATCTCTGGCCCTCACCCCAATATCGGAGGTCCAGTCCTTCTCCCCAACTCCCATGCCCCTGGGCTCCTCAGAAGCCCCAGTCTCCAAATGGCTGGCCAGGTCCACGTCTCTCAAGCCCAGGTTATCTGACCATCCTATCTGTCCCAGGGCATCCTCCCTGGCCTCCCTTGAGCCCCCAGAATCCACACAACTGGACACTTCCAAGTTCCTGAGGCCCAGCTGGTCAGTCCAGTCCACAGGCCCAGGCAAGGTCTTCTCGGGAGACACGAAGTGGCCACCTCCCATCTTGCTGGAAGGGCTCAGGCCAGCACTGCCCACTCGGTCATTGCCAATGACGCCAAAATGATGGCTCCTCTCAGAAGCCTCCATGCAGAGGTCACCACTCCAGTCTCGCTGCTCTGGGCTGAAGGCCACCTCTGGCTGGGGGACAAGACCAAGGCTGAAGTCTCCAGCCCAGCCTCGCTGCCCCACTTCCCTGCCCTCCGGGTCAGCATCGCCTGGGCTCTGGCTCCCTGCCCGCTGTCTCCCATGCAGCCCTCCAACCTCCTGGCTGGCACCGCTGTCCTGCCAGCTGCTCTGGTCTCTCTGTCCAAGTGCTCCATCCTGGGACTGAGGGGTGCTGGGGCTGAACAAGCCCCCAGACTCTCTCTTCTCTGGCTGGCCTGCGTCTCCGCTGTCCTCGCTCGGGCCATCTCCCCCACTCAGAATCTTCTCAAATTCCTCATCTTGCTGGTGGGCCTCCTCGGGGCCGAACCCAGCGCTCAGGGCTCTCGTCCCGAAGCCTCGGTCCTGCGAGCCGAGGGCCGTGGAGCTGCCCCGGCTGCTGTAGTCCCTCATCCAGGCACTCTTCCCGAAATCCTGGTCCGGCTGCTCAGCACCCTGGCTGCTGAAGATGCCAAGCGACGAATCTCTCTTCCCGAACTCCTGGTCCTGCTCGTCAGCATCCTGGCTGCTGTACCTGCCCAGGTGGTCCTTCTTCCCCACTTCCTGGCTTGGGTTGTCCGCCTCCTGGCCAGCATAAGTCCCCAAAGAATCTCTCTTCCCAAAATCCCAGTCCCGAAGGCTGGCCTCCTGACTGCTGTAGGAACCCAACGAATCTCTCTTCCCAAATTCCTGGTCCTGGAGTTCCGCATCCCGGCTGGAATAGGTGCCCTGGGAATCCCTTTTCCTGAACTCCCAGTCCTGAACATCCGGCTCTTGACTCTGCTGAGTGCCGAGCGGGGTTGGCTTTCCAATCACCCGGTCATGGGCTATGAGGCCCCCTGGGGCAGACACTCCGCTCCCCTTCGGGCTGCTGACCTCCACCTCTTCATGGCCGAGGATGCCACACCTGCTGACCCACTCCCTGGTGCTCCCTTCCCCCACTCCTTGCCCACACTTGCTGGACCAGTCCCTCTCTCCAAGGCCAGGGTCCCCTCTAGGGCTCGCACCCCCAAGGCCGTAGTCCCGGGAAGTGTCCTGGGACCAGCTGGAAGGGCTAAATCTGCTGGCCTGTGTGTCTGCTGCGATCCCAAATTCACTCTGCAGATCCTTCTGGGCCCAGCCAAGAAGTCCCTGGGAACCAGAAAGAGAGAGACAAAGAAACAATGCTTAGAGTCGCTCCAGAATGAGAGTCAGCACGTCTGGTGCCCAAGAGCGCACTCTGGTACCAGAAAGCTTGAGTCTATGTCCCAGCTGTGAGACCCTGAGCAAATCACTTAACCACTCTGGGCCTCAGGGTCCTCATCCTTAAACAGGGATAACTCCTACTGCAAGGGCGGTTAAGAGAGGGTTAAGCAAGATCACTTAAGCCAAGCACTCAGCATAGTGCCAGGCACACAGAGCACTCAGCCACAGCAATGGGTTCTCAATAGATGACCCTGAGGTCATGTTTACAGCCCTTGGGCAATATGTGGCTACCTGCCTGGAGATAGGTGGCCTGGCCTGGGGCAGTGGTCTCACAGTGGTGTAAAGCACACTTTCCTTGGGACAGGACAAGACTCAAAGCCCCCCCACAACCTCCTTTCCACTGCTAGACCCCACCACCACCCCAGCTCATCTAGTCCCCATGAGTTCCCAGCCCCTCCCTCCCTAAGGAAAGCACCCTCTGCCCAGCCCTTCCCAGCAAGACCTCACAGCCATCCCTCAGCCCCCGAGGGAGACAGGAGGGACAGCCTCTGGCTCAGGCTAGCGAAGCTCCCAGCCAGGGCTCCACACCCCACACTCCCTGACTCACTCCTGGGGGCGGGCGAGCCCCGGCCTCAGGGCTGTGGAGCCGGCCGGCTTCATCCCGCAGCGCCGCGTTGGCCAGCAGCCTCTCCAAGATGGACATGCAGTGCTCCCCGTCCCCCAGCTGGGCCATGGCCCCTGCCCCCTACACCCACCCCGGGCAGCTGGGACGGCAGGAGCCCCTGGGCAGGGCTGGGGCGCTGCTCCCCTTTGCCTGGACCTGTCCGACAGCTCTGGCTCTGGGCTCACCCTGGCCCTGCTCCCTCTAGAGCAGCTGCAGCTCTCGTGGCCCCGCCCAGAAGCCAGTTGAGTCACCCACATCCCGGGACAGACACACCTACTGCAGGAACGAGCTGGGTCTTAAGTCCTTCCGGCTCCTCCTCTTCCCCCCCCCCCC